AGGGATGGTGACTCAACCACTTCCCTGGGCAGCCTGTTCCAATGTTTAACCACTCTTTCAGTAAAGAAGTTTTTCCTTACATCCAATCTAAACCTCCCCTGGCGCAACTTGAGGCCATTTCCTCTCGTCCTTTCGCCAGTTACTTGGGAGAAGAGACCAACACCCACCTCGCTACAGCCTCCTTTCAGGTAGTTGTAGAGAGCAATGAGGTCTCCCCTCAGCCTCCTTTTCTCCAGGTTTTTATCTCAACCCACGAGTTTTTCTCACTTGTGCTTTTCCAATTCTCTCCCCCATCCTACCGGGGGGGGGGGGGGGGGGGGGGGTGGGAGCGGTGGGTTGCCAACTGAGGTTAAACCACGACAGTAGCATAAAATGTTAACTCTATCTGATTTTATTTCCTACTGCTGTCACAGTAAAACCAATAAAATAGACTGTAAATTCCATCACCTTCTGCTTCTAATCAAACCCTTTGGATTAGACAGCCTTCAGTATCTGTTTAAGCTAACTTGTTTAACCCTTACACTGAAATGGATGAAGAGTGTCACCATTTTCCTTTTCACTGAGTCTATTGTGGGATAATCAGCACCAAACGACTTGTGAACGTTGTACTGTCAGAGCTATTTTCGCATTGATAGACTAGATATGGGTTGAGAAATATTCTGTAAAACCTTAGGCACCACTGTAGTTTGGAGGGGGATATTTCCAATTTAAAGGCAAACTTTTAAGGCCACTATATGCAACCTATTACTTTGTAGGAGAAGTGTCAATATTATTGCTTCTTTTTTTGCATTGAGAAGTACCGATAGCTGGAAACCATAACATATGTGTTTTATTTAAAAACAAAACAAAACCAAACCTAGTTTAGGATTTCAGGAATTGTCAAGGCATTATTGGCTTGAACCTTGCCTTGAGAAGGAAAAATACAAGTATGGGGAAGAAGGTCTTACAGAATTAATCAAAATGGTGAGAAAACAGGCATAGGGAAAAATGGCAGAAGAAGCTCATGGAAGAATTTGAGACTAGTGTTTCTCATGTGCAAACAGAACCACAGAGTAGGGAGGAAAAAAGCATGATTTCTGCTGTGGAAGAAGGAAAAAGTAAGGAACATATAATGCCTGGTAGGGGGGAAAGGAGCAAGAATGGAAGACAGAAAGCTTCTGGGATTGTATGTGATGCCAAACCTAAAAAATGTTTGAAGATTTCTGTGATAGAGTTGGAAGGATGAGTAGTACATTGGAAACTTGGGAGATGGAGGAATTTAATTTATTGAAAGCATTTGATGTTCCTTGATTTAAAGAAGCGATAAAATTTGGAGTCTTGTTGTTTGGGTATAGTAAATAATGTGCAAAGTATCTCTGGGGTAGGAATTCAATGACCTAAGTTGTATGGGAAGATTGAAACTTCTGTGGAAAATCCCTGACCAGTAAACCATAAAAAAAGCCAAGTCTTTTGCATATGATCTACAGAAGCTACTGTTTCCCTGGGAGCATTCTGCTTTACCTAATTAACTGTATAAGGTCCAGTAGTATAGTGGGGTATGAATACTGTTATATATTAACATATGCTATATTAAGTGTTCAATAGCTGAGATTTTTCAAAACTGTTTCTTTCCTGCAGGTTTATAGTAAGCTCTTATTGAAATCAGCTTTTAAATATTTGCACCAGAAAATGAGATTTGCCTTGTTTTGGTACATCCTGAGTTATAAAAAATTTGTGAACTACTTTTATTACTTTGCAACTACTGGGTCATAAACTTGGATTAGTTTTATAGGATTTGGTATATGAGTTGACAGATGTGATATATGATGACACTTTATCTTTTATTGCTTACACATACTAGTTATTGGGAAAGGATGGGGGCAGTTCATATTAACCACAAGATGGGATTTCAGTTGCTTACCCAAGTGTCTCTCATTCATTCGTTCATTTGCTATCAGTTATAGCAGATACATTGCTTCTTCAAGCCTGTCACACCAATAAATCATTACAGATTGTATGCATTTGTACAGTGCCAAAGTGTAGCATGAATTTTAAAGGAAATCTCCTATTTTCTTTTCAATCAGATGAGCAACGTGAAGAGACTACGGCCACGGCTCAGTGCTATTCTTTTTAAGCTTCAGTTTGAGGAGCAGGTGAACAACATCAAACCTGACATCATGGCTGTCAGTGCTGCCTGTGAAGAGATAAAGAAGAGTAAAAGCTTTAGCAAGCTGCTGGAACTAGTATTGTTAATGGGAAACTACATGAATGCAGGTTCTCGGAATGCACAAACCTTTGGATATAATCTCAGCTCCCTATGTAAAGTGAGTTTTGAAATGTCCATGTTGAGTATTACATTCACTTTTTCATTTGTTTTTATTATGTTACTTAAATACCTTGTTTTGATGTTTTTCCTGCAGTTAATTCTTTGTTGTTTTTTTTTTTTTTTTCCTAATTCTTACACTAGTTGATGGTTTGAACAACACAGCTAATCTATGTACAGTCATCTTGAGACTGGCCTGCATTTAAACTTCTAGAAGACTCCATATTGAGGGAATAATAAAAAAACAAACCCAGACTAAATAAGGTTATGGAAGGACCGTAACACTGTGATCACAGTAGTTTTGTAGTCTTACATGTCTGAGCACTTTGAAGACTGTCATATTTTAATATGTTTTAATACAGTTTTCTCTTTTACATAAATTTTCTCCTTATCTGATTCTCTTTTGGTTTTGCTCAGTTTCATCAGTTCCCTGTTTCTTCTAATTTTCCTTACATTTTCACTCTTTCAACTTTTATATAGGGTATATACAAGAGGATATCTATACTTTCCTGAGTGTTAATTTATAATCAATTCTAATCCTAATTGCCTTCCCCTTATTTAGTGTTTTTATTTTTTTCCTGTGCCCTCTGGGAGGTCACTGAAAAATCTGCACAAAATACACATGTATGTAATAGTCCTTATGAGAAAGGAATTATTTGGAAGTTTGTACGACTCTTTGTCTCCTCTCAGCTTCTTTATCTTTTTATACAATGGAGAAAATACAATATGTTAACTCTTACATTCTTTAAAATAATCGCCCTTACTTTGCCATGCTCCAGAAGAATTCTTTCACTATGGTTCTTGAGTGTTGAATGTGATACCTGTAACTTAAATATTCGTAGAGAATAAGTTACATACCTTCCCTAGTCTAAAGTAAACATTTAAGCATGCATCAGCCGCCTAGAGAAATACAGCATAGATGAAATTATTGAGTTAAATGTACAGTTTGTTGAGAAACATATTCAGAAGGAAGATACTAAAGGTTCTCTTTCCAGTTGGGTGCATTTATTTCTTAGGTATGATTTTACAAGAATCTGTCCTAGGTCTGTATTTTAATGCACAAGAGAACAATAAAAGAAATATACTTACGAAAACAATATGAAGGTAATTGTTGCAGACACTTTGCAAAGCAGGATCAAAATTCAAAAATTATCTTGGAGAAATATTTTAAGATCTAGAAGATGAAAATTTTGAAGACTACCATGAAGTACTACACATTGGAAAGTGAACTGATGTGTGCAGATAATGAAAGTAAGGAGTGAATGGCTAGTCAGAATTCCAGAAAATGGGCTTTAAATCCTGGCTAATTCTACAGTGCTCTGGCATTAAATGCATTTGATAATCTAGGATCTCACAGTTACTTAAATTTGCACACTTACAGGTTATTTAGCTTTACAGGAGGTTGCAACATTCTGTTGGAGAGGAAAAAATGTCTCTTTTAGTGGACCTTTTATGTATTATAAAGATGGTAGTTATCTACTGCTTACTTGGTGCTGATAAGGTTTTAAGTGAAGTCTTGTCTGAATTAATGCAGAAAATATACAGACCGACTGGTGAGAATCCAGATGGTAGTAACATGTAACACTTCTAAACTGAGAAAAAAGCATTTGGGTGTATTTAATTTAGAAAAGAAAGGAGAGGAACATGAGGAGGACATAACACTGTCCTTTTATTGTTAATTTATGATAAAGAAGGCATTTGAACATTTGTTTTCTATGTAGCTAAGGTAGGAGATAGAATAATGGGCTTTGCTGGTAACCAAGTAAGTTTGCTTAAAAGTTAAGAAAGCTTTCTAATTGCAAAGATAGGTAAGAACTTGATAGTGAAGATTGTGGAAAGCTTTTGAAATCCAGGTATACTAGTAATTCTCAAAGCGTTGCCATGAGGCCAAATTAAGAGCTAAAATAAATAATATTTTGAACAGAGTCTTTAGTTAACTAATTGGGAAGTGTGTGCATGTTTCTTAGAATCATGGAATAATTCAGGTGGGAAGGGACGCGTCAGTAGGCATCTAATCCAACCTTCTGCTCAAGAGAAATGCTGATCACTACCAATAGTCTGTAGGTGAAGTAGATACAAAGCTATAAGGACCAGAAAAGGTAATTTGCTCCCTATTATCAAAATGCTTAGTACTGTGTAATTTTGACATTGTATCATGTTATATGATTAGAAATGGTGATACTGGTTTACTCCTTTCAGGACTTCATTAATTTATGCATAAACTTATATCATAGTACTCAATATGTTTCATTTACATAAGAAATGTGCAAGTAAAAAAACAAAGTTCCAATGACAAAGATTTCATATATATTTGATTTGACATCACTTCAGATTGCTAGTTTGTAAATACCAGACCACAGTGCTTAAAAGCTTTTCTAGGGGGAAGATAACGCAACCTTAATGGTAATTGAATATGAGTGTATTGGTGTCCCTGCCCCTGTCATGGGGGTTGGACTAGATGATCCTTAAAGGTCCCTTCTAAGCCAAACCATTCTATGATTGGGAAAGAAAGACCAACTATTATAGATTTTGCTGGGAGGCAGAGCAACTATAGCCACCTTAGAGATCGTCTGTAAAATTTCAGATCTCTGCCACTTAGATATCCCAGGACAAGTGCAACCTACAGTCAACTACTTGTTCTTTTGAAGTTTGACAGATTTTCAGAGAGAGAATCACTGGGAATTTGCATTTACTCTCCTACCTTTGTAGTCAACTAACGCTACCAGTATCATTTGAGAATATTATATTTTTATATCAACCCAGACAAATACCGAAAAAGACTCAGGTATTCAGCACATCAGCCACAGTTTTCTTCCTTCATGATACATGGTGACATTCCAATATATCAGCAGATTTCATGGAGAATTGAGATATCACCTCTATTACAATTTTTCTTGCTTACTTCAGTATTGAAGAGTTGGGTTCTAGAGGTAACTCTGGACTATCCAGTCCAATGTGTATCAGGGTACTAGTCACCAATTCCTAATTGACCTCAACCAATTGTGGCCTCATTTAGGAAGTCCGTGAGTGCCAAGCCTTCACTGGTTATGAAATTGTCCCTTACACAGACAGATCACTTTGTCTGGAAACACAGAGGTAAAACTATGTATGTGTAATTTTTGGGATTTTATTAACTATGTGTAGTGTCTTGGTTAATGCTTCATCTGCTCTGTTCTGAGAATAATAAACTGGTTCAACTATTAAAATTATTAGTATTAAAACAGAACCCCCCCCCACCCAAACCAGTATTCCTTCAAGGCCCCAAACTAGAAAGCTGCAAATTGCAGACTGCTTGGTGGTCTGCACAGCAGTTTTCAGTAGGGGTTCCGAGAACTTAAGAAATTTGCAGTGGCTTCTGTCCTTCAAAGATCTTGATTTCTGTAATATTTGAAGAATATACAATTTATCTGCTCTTCTTCATTGGTGCCCAACTATGCACAGGGAACTATATGCACTATCCACTTTGCAGAAGACTATTCCATATCTTGCCTTCTCCCTCCTTCGTGTAGAATTGAACTGTAGTAGTTCTTCTGCATCAGAGAACATGTGTGCATATTCTCAGAAGAGAGATATGATATTGGTATGCTAATACTCAATAATTTATTAAATACTGATATGTTAAAATTATATGCATGTTTATAACACTGGTTTATTTTTAAAACTAACTTTTGTTAACTACATGTATTTTAAGCAGTGTCACATTGTAGAAATTTTGTGTGATGTTTCAATTATTGAGACATTTCTCACTGAGATTCCCAGTACAGTAGAATTAACTTATTTTATAACACTGCATACAGTAATGACCCTAGAATATATTTTTTGGTTTTGATATATATGTGTTCTATTTTCTTTTTATTTTGAAAATTATGTCTCACATTATTATTAATCCACTCTCCTGAAGGAGAACATATACATTATGGAAGAGTATATCTCATCATATTTATTAAGATAATATAATTTTGATCTTTGAAAATAATGACTGACTTTTTACAGTGAAGTATGAAATATCAACCTCAGTGATAACCACTCTCCGAAATTGTCCATTTCAATTTACATACAGTATGGGAAAAGCAAACAATATACTCATTTGTTTTTTAAATCACATCAATAAAATGCCCTGTAAGTGATCTCTGAGGATATTGGGAAGCACAAGAAGTGTGAAAAAATCTCTTTATAAGCAATTTGCAACCATGGGAAAACTGTGGTAATATATAAATATTAAAAAAATATATTAATGTGTATGTATGTTTAAATTGGGATTGATCTTGCTGTCAGTTCTTTGTTCAGAAGTAATCCCTATATAGCTCTGTGTCTGGTTTTGAACCCTCTTTGGAAAGGAAGGTAATTTTTCCTTTCTACCTTGTTGCTGTAGTTACTCTTATGCCGTTGAGCATTGCTGACCACTTGCATTTTTCAGGGTGACCAAACTAAAGAACAGTCTTGAAGTTGAAACAAACTAACATGAGTTTTCTACTTGTTTAGTGCTAGTTGCAATACTGCGCTAAAGACTTTTTCCCCTGATACTCACATGTACAAGTCTGTGTGCAAATGTGGCAGCCCTTTAGTATGTGTGCATACTTCCTATGTGCCCGTGTACATGTATGCTTTTTCTGTTTAAATTGTTTTATGCAGATAGAGTTTTTAAGTAGTGAAGAAACACTTTCATATGAGAGATGTCATTTTAAAATGACATTATATGTCATTTTCTATTTCTTAAATCATTGGAGAGATTTTTAAAGACTAGCTCAAACGTGAGACTACAACAGAAACATATAACTGAATGTTCGCCAATTGTCAATTGTTAGTGTTTTTACAAGTAGATGCAAGTTTTAAAATGGCTGGGCTTAAAATAATTTTATACATATAAAGGGTTCAGAAAGAAAAGTTTGTGCTTAAGAATTTTTGAAGTCAAAGTTTTTAAACGATGAAGCCTATGAACTCTTGTTTGCCCTATTGAGAATTGTTAACAACAAGAACTTGTGCAGGTTGAGGCTGTAGCTTCCTCTGCATAAATATTGTAAAGTTAGCTTCACGCATAAGGAAATCATGTCATGGAGTGGATATGTGCATCATGTACTGCTAGATTTTGCCGATTTAGCTCTGCTTTTTTATTTTTTACACGAGTCTATTTTTTCATGAGTCTATTCACTGTTTTGCAAATATTCCTATATTGCTTAAATAATTACATTTTTAAAAGAGAAATGTGTACTGTTTTTTGAGTACAGAACTCAAATATTGTATAGAATTAAAAAATATTTAATGTGATCTTTCTAGGGATTTTTAGCAAGGAGGGAAATGAAACAGCCTGTTACTTAGGGTTTTCTTTAAAAGAGTTGTACCAGTTCAACAGTTAGTTCTCATCTTTCTGGGCTTTGTAATTAGTAATATATATTAATTATCAAAATAGTCAGAAGTAGTCGTATTCTCAGTGTTTTAACATTTCTTTTTTTCTCTCTAGCTGAAGGACACAAAGTCGGCAGATCAGAAAACAACATTGCTCCATTTTCTTGTAGAAGTGTGTGAAGAAAGCTATCAGGATGTTCTGAATTTTGTTGAGGATTTTCAGCATTTAGATAAAGCTAGTAAAGGTTTGTATAACTACCTAAAAGTTTTGATTCTGATTGCATTGCAGTGACTTTTATGTGAGATGATGTTTATTTTTTGCTAACATTATTTTAAAAATAGACATTAATAGTCTATATCGTAGATCAGTAATTTGAGCTACTGCGAGTCATCTTGAAGATATTTATTGTTTGGTCCTCTAATCTTTACTGCAGAATTTCCCATTACATTTCTTCTAACGTATCTTCTAGAATCATTGTCCAAAATAGATTTCTTTTAAAAGTTCTTTTCTATTAACAGATCTTAAACTATTTCCAACTTTCAATCTTTTGTGTTGTACGTGTAGTAGAATCACTCAGTGTCTTTTAATTCAGAAATGCGGAAAGGCTGTCATACCATCACTTTTTTTTTCCCCCCCCTAAACACGAATCAGAACAATTTTGTCTTCCCTGCGTGTATGTTTTTCATGCAACAGTAGCATTGGAAGTCTGGAAAAATAAATTCCTCTTTTTACTGTTTCATCACGCAGCATAGAATATGGTAAATCTCAATATAAGCAGCAGCAGATTTTTTTGCAGTTAATTTCTTAATAAAGATTGCCTTCTCCATGCTTTATCACAGCTTAAGTAATTTAAACTGACTAAGCGTGGAGTTACAAATTGATGCCACCTCAGCACTGTCATAGTCTTGCAGGAAAAGAAGATTGGATGGACTGCCTCAGTTAAACAGTGATATTCTCCAAACTGACATAAACTAAAAAATTATTATCTGTATTGCTTTGTACAGTGTCACTCTTATGCCTCTCTCAGTCTCCCTGCCACAAACTACAGCTTTGCAAAACCTGCTCCTGATAGAGAACTTGAGATAGTCGTCGCTCACATAGAGTTTGCTTTCTGTTATCATGGTTCTTAAAGTTTCCAATTTTAGTTGGTGGATTATAACCACTTAGAAGTTCAAGTATTTTTAAATAGCTGTCAAATGCTTCAAGCCCTTCATCTAACTGTTTGTACTGGTAATAGAAGGAGTTTCTGCTGTATATAAATTCAGTGTTTTATACATTATTTTCATAGAACCCAGTGTTAACTAGCCACTTTTTTTTTTTTTTTCATTACTAGCATGCTATTGGCTCTATTGTGGTTGAATTTTGTATATCAGCCAGCAGAACTACAATGTTCCTTATTAGAAGCCATTATTTCAGTGTAGACAGTCATCTTATATGAAGCTGCTGATTGCTTTCTGGAAGGCTTCTGAGATATAAAACACTGACCATTCAAAGAGTAGCCAGTAAAATTATCAGTTAGTCCAGGTTTTCTGTTCTTTTTTAGGTATCTGCTGTTGACTAGATGAGTCTTTGATCTCACTCACTATGTTCTAGGATGGAAATCAATGACCATGTTTTCAAGTTTATATACTGAATTTACTTCAGTGTATTATGAGATGAATTTTGCATTTCAGTTTTACTGTATGAAAAAGACAAAGGCTTAGGATGTCTTTAACAGATTAACATATCAGTGTGTTTGTTTATACTTGTTTCCCTACCTGCAAAATTCCATTTTGTTTTGAAAGACTCCTGCACTGGAATTTTGGAAAATCCAGCAGATTCCAAAGACTGCAGCTCATGTTTTTGGGTTTTTTTTTAAACCTTTTAGTACTTTTCTGCAAAAGTATATTTTTATGAAGCAAGTTGATCTAATGTGTACCAACTTTTGCACAGTAAATTTTTAATGAGGTGGCTATTTTTGCTTGAGCTTACCAAAAGGTCAGTTCAAAAAAATCTGTGCATCTGTGGTTGTGATAAGTCATATCCAACATAATGGACTCACCTGGTCTCATGTAACTTATTGATATGCTGATGAAGAATAACAAGTTGACCAAGAATGATTTGCATTGAGGCTTCTACAGTGAGCTGGGAAATGGCAGATATTACAAAGCATCATTATGGCTGTTAGGGAGAGTGACAGAGGGGAAGTCATCAAAAAATCTTTTATCTTGATGATCGTCTAGTCAAATATGCTTATTCCAGAAGAAATACTCATTGTGTTAGAACAGAATTTGGGTATAGAGGGCTTAGAGCATCTCCTCCATTCGAAGAAACTGTACTTAGTGCTTAATAAGAATAATCTGTCCTGGATTGTTTTTATTGGAGGCAGTTCAGACTTCCAGTAAACTTGGAAAACCACTGGATCCAAAGATTACATCTAAGGGTTATAGGCTGCTGATGGTACAGAAGGAAGGAAGTCAGCCTGGGTTTTTCCTGTCATCTGATAGGAAGGTTCTGTTTACATATATGCTGCTTTGGTCAAAGTTATTGGGTGAGGAGATACATCGTTCTTTTCTGGTTTTGTATAATACTAATATAATGTTCAATTTTTCTGTGAACCATATTGGTTGTATTTTGTTCCAATATTTGTTTCTAAATCCTCTTCTCTACCTTTTGTCCTAGCAAAGGTTAGGGCCTTGTAGAGGTGGCGGAATGCCATTCCCTTCATGGCTTTGCTGAACTTTGTGCTCTGAAGTAATTTTGAAAAGTAATTCTCAAGAATAAATCAATGATGTTTGATAAGAATATTCTTTTTTCCCATACCTTTGTTGCAAGCTATTTTTTTTTTAATTGGGTTGGTTTTATTTCTTGTCTGCATATTCATTTCTGCAAATACAATAATTTCACATTTTATCTATGGCATAAAGGTATTATTTGCAAGTGTCCTTTAAATTATAAATCAAAATTAATGTAGCAGAAAGATGTGTAAATGCCATTTGAACAATATTAACAGAAAACTTTAAGTTGAACACCCTGTATAAAAATGGAACTATACTATACATTTATTGGTTTTGGTCTGATCACCATCAACTGATTGTTGCATCTTCTACAAGTTTCTTAAAACAAGTTACTTAAAAGATGTTTTTTAGAATACTTCCTTGAAATTACTGTCCTTGTATCAGCCAGCCCACTTGTAGCATACCTTATATCTTTTTTTATTTTATACTTGCTCATTCTCAAAACTTCTCTCTCGTGTTATTTCTGATTCAAAATGGTGAACATTAGAACATTACAATGTTTAGCAATTCATTTTCTTTTTATCCTTTTTAGAAGAAACATTCTTGCTCCTTTCATTTCATTAAATATTGTCCAGTAATTGTCATACAATAAGCTGTTAACATAGCTTGCAAGACTTTAAGGGCAGTGACAAGGTCTGTTAGTGAAGCTAACATGTATTTTATAAATGATAAAACATTCATAGCATGTAAATTAATTATTGCATTAGAAAAATAAATTTAATTTTTTTTAATAACATAGCTTGCAAGACTTTAAGGGCAGTGACAAGGTCTGTTAGTTGTGAAGCTAACATGTATTTTATAAATGATGAAACATTCATAGCATGTAAATTAATTATTACATTAGAAAAATAAATTTAAATTTTTTTAAATACAACTGACAGGCAAGCAGCAAGGGACATGTGACCTATGCAATTGTAGTTTACGTAAGGGTATTTTTTTTTTCTATTATGTGCTAAAGTTTTAGTTTCTACTTTTGTAATACTAGAAGTAGGCTTAATTCTCTCTTACAGTACATGAATTAAAGATACCTTTTTGCTTTGAAGTATAACAAATCCTGGTTTTTAAGTACTCTTAGATCAGCAGGAGGAACTTTCATTGCAGCTAATGAGCTTGCTGATATGACAGTTCGTGAAGATTCACATAATTAAAGCTGTCTCTTCTTTTAAACATGACGACTTTCCTGCTTTTCTATTAGTATTCCGTACAAGAAATATTTTGGTAATTTAGTACACTTTACTAATTTCTTATTTTATGGTATTTTAAAGATTTATATTGCATTTATCCAGGCTGTTGTTTTATTTGATTGACTCTAATTTACACAGACCTTACAGGTAACAGCGTATAGAGTCTTCCTTTCATATTGTAATAACAGTATAAAACTTCAGGTTTTCCTTCCTCTAAAAATCATTAACTCATTGTCGCTTTACAAATAACTTATCCATTTTCTCATTTTTGAAACTTACTCAGTTTTTTTCATAGATAATTATTTTTTTTTTTTTAAATCTAGGAACCAAATTATAAATGCAAAGTTTAATCTATATTCATTAAAAAACAGAACACCTCCACCTACAACATTTAGAAACATTAGGACAGCATGAGAGAACAATATTAATATATATGCTATAAACAATCTATATGTCAAAAGGAAAGGGTTTTTTTCCTATTACAGATTTTCTGAAAGTGTATGGCAAATTTCTCAGTACTATTAATAACATAATTTCTGCTATGCATTTCTTGGGCTTTTGTTTTGTCTTAAGTCGCAAATTCACAAGGTGTGTTTTCAGGTAGCCAGGATTGTTGTGTTTGTTTGGGTGGGGGGTTTTGTGCTTTCAAAAAACATTACAAACTTCATGAGTTACTCCATACTGTATTATATTCAATCAGTACGAAAATCAATAGATGGTTCCACTGTCTTGCAGATTACACAAGTTTCTAAGTTCTTATAGGAGACTCAGTGTAGACTGGTAGCCCATTCAGAGATTTACTTTGAAAAATGTTTGTAACTAACATGGCCACAGTTTTATCTTAATTATGTCTTGGTTTTGATAATTCCTTTTTTTAAAATGCGAAGTTCATTTTCCAATTTTTTTTTTATGTTATGTATGGGATATTTCTCTGCCTTAAATGATAGTTTTAAAGAATGATGGCTATGCATAGTAGCCAGGAGACTTGCTGCCAACCAGAGGTCCATTTTTTTATTCTGTATTTACCTGCATTTTCTTTTTTGGTGGCTCTTTAGAAAGAGAGTAAAAAGAGTTCTTCAGAGTACTAAAAAAGGAACAGTATCCTTGTTCATTCTCACATGTTAATTTAATTAATTCAGCTATTAGGTAAGTAGCTTCACTTATAATATACAACTTGTCTGTGGTTTTGTTAGGATTTTTTATATGTAGGTTTATGAAATAAAATTTCAAGTAGCTATTCAGAGATTTCCATGAATGGCAGAGAATAATGTGACAAATGGCTT